GAATGACCTCCTTGTACTTAGCTGCTTTTCTTGTTGATCTCGCTGCTCTTTTCCTCCATTAGCGGGAGAATTCTTCAAGGCAGTGATACAGTATGCTACAACTTGTGTTCACATCCACCATAAAACACTGCTGCAGCTCAGGCCTGGTGGATTTATTCTGTTGCTTTTAGAAAATGAACTAAAAAGGAAGCAAAATCGAAAACGGATCGTACCACTAAGGGCAAAGTCTGCAAGCAGCTTTCATTTACAGGTTTGTTTGACCTTGAATCCAAACCTGAGTTCAACCTTGGGGTTACAGGCTTGGGGTTTTTTTCCCACGTTAAAAGTTCTGTTGGTAAAAATCTCTTAAGGCTGTAAGATGAGATACATATTGAACATGTTCTGAATTTTAGACATTTTAGATGACTGTCAGAGAGAATATGTTTCTGAAAGGAGGATGAGCCGTGGAAGCAACAGATCTGGAAAATAAAGCTGTCCGTCGTCTGTAAGAAAGGATCTAAGACTGCATTCAAATTGAATAATTCTTTTTTAGGTCTTTCTACATGTGTGAAGTGTACATTCCTTACTGATCAGCAGCAGGAGTCGGGGAGTCTGGAAACAGCCGGGCTGCCTTGCTTGCTGAGGGAGCCATTCAGCTGCTCTGACAAGCAAGCTGCCATTTTCCATGCGATCGCTGCTGATGGTGAAGCATTTGTTTCGCTCTTAACTTTGCGCAAATCCCTCTTGGTTTTTCTCTTTTGAAAGTAAGACGTATTTCCATATGTCCATAGAAGCTTCCCTGACAGTTCAGCGTGCTCTTTGGGATGTCTTATTCCTGTTGGGTGACGGGTGAAATTGGCTGCTTTGTTTATTAAGTGCACGTGACACCGTGTAAAACATGCTTAATATCCTCAAGCACTGCACAGGTGTTTTTGTGCCAAAAGGAGACTCCAAGTTTTGCCGATCTGATCAGCCTTGTGTTCTCTCCCGTTTGGAAAGCCACTCCGTAAGAACTCCCATTGCTGATAAACACGTTATTGCACGGCTCCAATGTTATTCTTAGAAACAAACAGTTTTCAGCCTTCTCCAAAGAGGAGCACTTGAAAATAAAACGATTCTGTAAGAATTAATGCTGACACGTTCTCTGTCTGGGGCCTGCTTTAGGTTTTTTGGGAAAAGGCTTTCCATGACAAAAGCAGGGTGTTTTGTTCGTGTCTCAATATTTTATTCCTCACCGTGTTTTACACATTCTATTTCCATTCCCATAAAACTAAGTAGCAAACAAATATATATCGGTAGCATTTTTAGATTTCAGTTCTTATTCCTTCCCATCAATTTGGCTGAAAACAGGTATTTGCAAACACTGGTAGCCTAATTTCTCATGGCCTTTCATTTTTTATGAAGTGTTTTCAAAAGACTTCAATCAACCTTAATGGTGCGTTTTTAGTTAAGGAAACAGAATGGAGAGAAGTCAATTTAAGCTCCCCAATGAACAAGTGTGTACAGAAAAAAAGGCACAAATGGGTTTAGAAAACAGAGCCAGTACAAGCAAAATGCAGCGAGCAGAGCGCTCGGGGAAGCCAAGATATAATGGAAAGAGTAAAATACTGCAGAGCTTTTTAAACTATATACAATTGGAACAATGGACTGGACCCAGACATCTATGTTAAACTGTTGGAAGATAGGTGAAAAGCAAGCTGCAATTCTGTAACCGGGGCCAGAGAATACTAGAATGGAAGGGCTTAAAGCCGAAGCAAATGAACGTGGGGTGGTTTAGCTTGACAGAAATCACGTCCAAATTGGTGTATTTCGCTGTTTAATTTACCACGTGCAGAACCATCTCCTGGCTTTCTGTATTAAAGGACTGTCAGTACCAGCCGCCTTAATGAAGCTCCTTCTAAGCCACCTGTGAAATAACAATATCTTGGTTGTTGCACCTCTGTTTTTGCCAAAACACCTTAAAAGCATCGGCTAATTAAGTAACACAGCCACTGTGAGAACAGGCCACATAGCTACAAAATGTATGCTAAAGAAATACACCTGGGGGGCTATTGCACGGTGATTGTTTAATTGCCTCCCGTTATTTAAACGCGGTATTAATTATACATGCAATGCCTTGTTCCAAAGCATCACAGCCTCGCTGGAAAAAGGCTAAGTACATCAATATTAAAAATCCAAAGACTAAAATAACCCAGTCCTGCTGAACCAGTGCTCTCAGATGTCTGGGCCCAAGCACCTCTTCGAAGCAATCTGCTGCACAGTGCACCAGCACTGATCAGCACTTGCACGGCAGCGTATCAGTTATACTTTGCTTCCATGCGCTCACAGTCGAGTGCAATTGTTTTTAATGCCTGCCTTGCGATGTGATTCAATCCATTTGGGTGGCTTAATGCAAAGATTTCGTAATGTACACAGCGACGAGCAGCACTAAGGCAACTCGCACAGCACTCATTATTCTTTTAAGGGGAATGTCAACAAGAAGAGGAATTAGAGAGGAAATCGCTGTAACTCCAAAAGAACATCTGACTAACCACTACAGATGACATGTTTTTTCCCTTTTTATCCTCTTCACAATCCATAAAGGAGGATTTCTCCAAAACAATTAATTTGGTTGCCAAACCCTTCTTAATTCTAAGGAGATTTAAAACTCATCTACTTGGAGTCTGTCTCATGGAGCTAGACCCACAACCGGATTACGAGCTATTCCATCATATGGCTGTTGTTAGCCCAGTTGCTGCTACGTGGTACATAATTGGACCATTAAAAAAAGAAAGAAAGAAAGAAAAAGAAAGGACAAAGAAGAAAAAGACATATAAACCCTTCAATCTTCTTTACTGAGCCCACTGGCACTTCCAGCATTTTATTGTTTGTGTTACTTTCTCCACTAAATAAAAGCCTGGCAGCCTGAGAGAAAAAGGATTTTCTACAGCTTCTTCCAAGTAACTCTGAGATAGAACCTGCAGTACGAGCATTGACGCTCTGAAATGAACCGGTAACAGACAGAATTGTGAGCTTTGATCCCACAGCAAAACTCAGGTTTAAGTTAGAAAAACGCCTCTTCTTTGTGTCTGGTCTTGGAGAGCATCTGGCAAATTTCCACTTAGCAGGAATCCTGGTTTGCAGCACAAACTAAGTCCAGTGTTAATTCTTTTAATTATTGCATGTGTGTTTTGTTTTGTTTCTTTAGGGAGAATCGGTGACCTTAAACAAGACAAGGAAGACTTAAACCCAGATTCACCCCTTTGTAACATGGCTGGCTTAGAGCCGGGGTCATGGTAATGTTTTGTTTCTCTCTGCTGTGGTGCACAATGGTCGGCTCTTGATCTTTGCAAGCCAAGATGAGACCAACAGTTAGATAATGTCTGCACTGACAGCCACAGTCTCAGACCTGTGATGTTCCAAATTAGACACACCTCGTGAATGCGACAAAGTCACCACGTAGGCACCGTGCATGTCACCTTTATATGGGGAAGGCAGAAGATGGAAGGAATGCACTAAAGCCTTGTCCTAAGACGGCACCAGAAGCACTTGGTCACGTAGTTCAGAGGTGCTGCCGGAGTACGCAGATGAGGGTTTTACTTTAAAGTATAAACCACTGTTTGGCTGGCAGCCTCATGCCTTTTACATTCTTTCAATGTAGTCGTTTTACTTAATGTACTGTAGGCATATAATTGGTATTAAGCTTGTAAGCATAATCTGTGGAAGCCCGTAAAGTGCGGCTGCGTGCCATCTCAGCACAGATCAACAAGTACCGCAGTCTGGGAGAAGGACAACAAGTGCACCAACAGAAACATATTTCTTCTCTATGAACTTTAGTTTAGTAAACAAATCTGTACCATGCTAGTATTTATTACAGGTTATGGCTTGATGTGCAGATTAGGCTGACTATTAGAAGAGAGAACATTGTGGCCAGGATAAAGTCTCTGCCCGGGAAGACACTATTGATTTTGCCAATAGAAGGGATGAAATGTTGTAAGACAAAGGGACGCTTCCACATGTGAGGACCAACCATTCAGGCTCCCTGCCCCATTTCCATATGGGGTTGAAAGACTTAATTTTACTGTCTAAACCTCAGCGTGCCAAGAAAGAAACTGCTTAAAGCTAAATATTTAAACTTCGAGTATCTCTCTTCAGATATTTTCTTCAGAAACAAAATACATTCGCTCCATATTTTCACCTTCAAGTTTCCGTTTTCCAGCTTGCAATAAGGCAGAGCCCAAGTGTATCCTGTAAACATTACCCTCATGCCAGGACAGGAGCTGTTTCACAGTGCCCCTACTTGACTGTGATCCTCTTTGGAGAAAAAAAACTCAAGCGTGAGTTTCTGATAAGTTCCAGCTTCTGAATCCGTGCTGAGATTTCTCTCTCACTCTCTGCAGGGCCCAGAAGAAATGCCCACTCTTCATTTCCTTCCTTTGGTACAGCTCAAGCCAACTCTACCAACGTCAATTAACAATAGCCCTTCCTCTCCCTGTTGTGTTTGGTGCGTTACGTCACCCAGAACCAAACAAACCGCAACATTTCCGACAACAGAAATTGTTTTTAACAAATTCAGGCCGGCCAGCTGTTTGGTGTCTGCCAGCTGGGAGCGCTGCCTTCAGAATCCACACTGGATGCTCCTGCTCGGTCCCCGCGTTGCTCACCAATCTGTCCATCTGTCCGCATGGCGTGGTGCCAGCACTTCAGCTGGCCCCATCCTTATCCTGGGCACAAAGCGGCGTGCAGTTGGATGACAGTCTCAGCAACTGCAAGCGTTTGCTGCAAGTCCCTCTAACGTGACAGCATTGCTCCAAGAGGAGAGCTAGAGAGACCTCAGCTTGGTGTTATGCTACTGATGGTCTTCAGCTTTTGGAAAATGACACAGAGTCATTGGCAGAACGACAGTCACCAGTGAATATAAAATGACAAACACTGCAGTTTTATACATATATGTCTTTAAGTGCATCAATGTATTCCTTAGATTAGTAGTTAGGCATCCGCAGTACCTGAAAATGTAAGACAAGTTTTATTATTGTATAACATAAAAATCAAGTCACAAAACTCCCATTGATTTTATTGAGAGCAGCATTTGCCGTTAAGTATATTTTTCCTAAAGCTTTTTTAAAGCAACAGCTTAGGACTCAACTTTGCCATCGTTCACTGAATGCTCCAAAGAAGTCCCACTGAAACGGATGAAGTTGCTGCTAGGAAGTCCATCGTGAGTCTTGGTACCAGGAGATGCTTTGGGGAGCAGGACTCGTGGCTTGCAGCATTTCTCTTTTCCACAGTTCCATGTATGACTGCTGATTCAGATAGACTCGAATTCTGACACTCCGCTGTGTTGCTGGGTTTGTTAGAATTTACAGGTGGCTTCCTTCCCAAACCCATCTTAGTTTCAAGAAGCTTATTTGCCCTGAAGTCCTCAGAGACCAACAGGGCATTACTTTTTTCAGGAATTGAGGTAGCTTACCCATTGGACAGAGGGAGCGAGCACCAGGTCATCACTGCAACCATAATTTCTCTCTTATTCAATCGTTACACAGAAAAAAGTACAAGTTACATCTTTCATCAGAAAATAATTGATTTAAGTTCTTGTTTTCTTGTTTTATAAGACTACCCGGTGTATGCAGTTGATTGTATCTGAGTGAAGAAATCTTGTAATTGACTTTTTAAAAATTAATAATTTCTTATATTTGGCATTAACTATCCTTTTAATTAAAATTTATTTTTGGAGCCTTTTCCATTAGGAAAAAAAACAACTTTAAAAAATAAACATATTAATGATACTCGTACTCTGCTGCTCCTTACGTCTCCAAATCCAAAAGACAGAGCAGCTGAAGGAACTGGGGCTGCTCGTTCTGGAGAAGAGGAGGCTGAGGGGAGGCCTCATCGTGCTCTAGAGCTGTCTGAAAGGAGTTTGCAGCAAGGAGGGTGTTGGTCTCTTTTCCCAGGTAACGTGACAGGATGTGAGGAAACAGGCTCCAGTCGCACCAAGGGAAGTTTAGATTGGACATTAAGAGTATTTTCTTCACAGAGCAGGTGGTTAAGCTTTGGAACGGGCTGCTGAAGGAGGCAGCAGTGTGGATGTGGCACTGCTGGACACGGCATAGCAATGGGACCTGGTAGGTCAGGCTGCTAGTTTGACTGGCAGCTGGTTTGACTGACCCTACAGGTCCTTTACATCCTAGATGGCTCTATGGTTTGCACCATGGGAAAGCTGGTCACTTACATCTGCCTTTAAGCACCTTTAAAGCTGAGGTGCTCATTTCTAGGCATCACAATTTAAGACAAATCAGAGGAGCTGTATGAGCTCCGAAAGCTCAGTGTGCTCCTGTCCTCACAAAACAATGACTGCCAAAGCGAGGCAACCTGACCGCTTCAGAACACTTCTCCATTTTGTACTGAAATCTTTCCATGCTTACCAGAAAGGTTTCGAGCAGGTGCTGCCCAAGGGCTGTGTGTGCTAGGGACCTGTCTATGGATAGGGTTATATTTATACAGGTTATAATTATATACAGACATGTCTAATTGCATTACTGCCAAAATTCCCTATTTGCATTCTTTCAATTTTTTTATGGGCTGTTTTTAGCTTGCCTTTATTTTCTGTTGTTTTGTTTCTGTGCAGTCGAAGATTCTTCATCAGATGAAGCTCTAAAAGAAAACAGACACACAGCACAGCACAGTTTCTCTGCTGGCAGGGAAACAACATGAAATCTGCAGCTACCCTAAACTGCCCCAGTACTTATTGTGGCATTCAGGCTCTGTCAGTCTTCTTCAGGAGCAGTAATAACATTATAATGACTGGGAGACAAAACTGCCAAAGTCTTTGCAAGACAATCTTCTGGGCTCATCAGCATAGACAATCATTCTTTTCACTTCTGGAGTAATAGGAAGATTTTAAGCAATATCTTTTGATTTGAGTTGGACTTGAAAAATGACATAGCTGGGGGCCTTATTTTAAATGCAACGAGACTGAAATGTAAAGTGCAATTTCCCATGCAGTCTGTGGAGAGAATGAGGCACTTGTCCCAGTTCTCTTAATTGTCTCTGATTGCTGTTTGTGTAGCACAGTCACTTCCTCGTCTTCAAAATCACCTTCAAGGGCTGCAACATTTTTCACTTCACTGTTTTAAATCAGGAAGGGCTAAACACTCACCCATTCAGCCATTATGGCTCTTTTATGTTATTTATGTGGTTTATGCTATTAGGCTGTAAAATTTTGTTTATTTAATTGGCTTTAACAAGTACTTAAGTAACAGTTTTGAGGACACATCAGTGGGACTCGGCGCATGTTGATTAAGGTGTGCTTAACCTGACAGTTATATTTTGTACCATTTTCCCAGCAGCCGTTACTGTTATGGAAGAAGTGCTAATTTTCCAAAAATGCTGGCAGCCCGATTATTATGTTGGTTCTTTATTCATGCAGCTTCATTATTTTGTTGGCGCTGCTCTGTGAGAGATGAAGCAGTGCCATTATTTCTACTCCCAACTCCTTTCAGTCCTTTGCAATCACTCAGGCACATGTGTGGCATTACTCAGATAAGCAATTCTGTTTGCCTTCAGTGAGACTGGGTGTATGAATACACCCTGTGAAACAGCTGCCCACCTTCCTATGTCAGCACAGTCTTTCCTGGCATGCACTTTGAGAGATGAAGAAGAAACAGTAAAGATCACGTTCCATCAAATCTTTGTTTAAGTTTTAATTCAGAAGGGAAGTTCTGCCAGTGAGGAGCCCTTGGTTTTATGGGGAACCCAAAAGGAGGGAAAAGGAGTGGGAATTTCCAAGGTGGTTACAGTAAGTGGAGATCAGAGAGGCCGCTTTGGCCTCTAAAAGTAGAAAGGCTGCTTAAGTCTGTGGCTGGAATATTAGAAGCTGGTACTCCAAAGTTACTCAAGACTGCAGAAGTCCAACTTAGCTTTTACAACAAATTATTCATGGAAGTCAGCAGGAGCTGGAGATAAACTGTTCCTTTTGTGCATATCTACGTGAACAGAACTCTCCAGAGAGATCCTCAAGGTCCTGCCAAGAAAACGAGTGAAAACATTTTGAGAATGGAGTAAACATTTATAATTGAAAGCACCCAAAGTGTGTTTTGGTTAGATGCCACCTTTCTTCAGATGAGCGGGTGGCACAGAGGGCAAGGAAAGGTTATGAGGGCTGGAAGGAATGTGGCTGTGACACCAGGCTGCTTTTAAACGTATGGCTGGAGCTCTGTGCACTCAGCTCCCAAGACACCTCGACTCCACCAGAATGCCCAGCTTAGACCTTCCACCTCCTTTATTTTTTCCCTGGTTGCCAAGATGACACCAGGTGTCATCACACCACGCTTGGCCTCTAGTGGAGATACATCGAAATGCTGCCTTCCACAGCCTCTGAATCCCTAGCAGCGCAGTTGCAAATAAAAGGCAGGACTGCAGACAGAAGCTTTCTTTCTCTCACCTTTCTTCACTGGAGAAAAAAAAATTGAACTTGTTGAAATGCATACTGTCTTATTTTTCACAACTTGATTATTATTTGAGCTACCATTGCAAACCCGTGCATGGATCTGAATGCACTGCACATGCATCCTGACCTAAGGAGCTGAGAACAGCAAGAGACCATGGTTGGGCAGCGACTAACAGGCCACAGGCAAAGGAACAATCAAGTAAGCCAGGTTAGCATGTGTTTAGGGGCTCAGAACACCTGCACTTTCCTCTTAAAGAAAATAAGACTCTGGCCATATTAAAGATGGTGGCAGTTTCAGACCACATAAGCAACTTTTTTTCCAACAAGAAGAAAATTAGTGCCACACAAAATGTGAATTTTCTTTAAAGCACTGAGTGTAGCAGTGGGGAAAGGGAATAAAGGATGTTCTTACAATGAACACTTCTGCTTTAAATAGAGCATTGGAAACGAAAAATACTATTTTTCATATTTCACCCTTAATAACACATTAAAGGGTTTCTTAGCAGTGCTTCTGACAATGGGAATAAGTCAGGGTTAACTTGGCAGAAACCCCAAACCACACTTAGCTGCTCCCTATTGTAACAGTGAACAAAGGTTTTATTAACATCTTACCCCTCGTTGGGCCCAAGAGTTCTTTTCCACACAACAGGAGCTTTGAGTCAATTTACAGCTCTGCAGAGGGGATTTGTGCTATCAGATTCCGCATGTCATTCAGCAGTTGTTTACATTTATTTCCCACCATCCCCATCAAAATTTATCCATGAGAAGTAGGGACTTTTTTTTTTTTTTTTTTAAGAGTGTTTTTAAAACATATCCACGATGAGCACAAAATCAATGGATGAAAAAACCTTCCAACCTCCAAAACCAAGCTGCACATAAAAGATGGACAGAGGAGGTGCTGTAGTTCATGAAGTCTGCCTTCTATAGTAAAAGCAGAAGAAAATCAGACCAAAAAAGAAAAACCCTTCAGGAAATCTTGTTCCCCAAGTGTCTCTGAAGACCACAGCTGTCTTGCTATGAGGAGGAAAAAAAGGCCACTTGCTAAGGTGCAGCATTCATCAGCCCACTTTGTTGCACCTAATCTGTGTGAGCTGCCTTCTCTGGTAGCCACAGCCTCCACTGCCTCCTAATTCTGAAAGCAAGGCCATCTCAAGCCTTCTGTGGTTATCTGGCCTGAAGGGTGCAGCTGAAACAATGTTGGTCCAATGAACATAACAGACTTCCAGTGAGTGCTGCTGTTGGGACAATTTGGTGTGGCAGGAAGTCTGAAAGGACTTTGACAAAATACAGCCAGCAATTGCCTCCTGTGTCTAACCCGTATCGGGTGGGAGGAGCCTGGGATGACTCAGAAAGATCCTGTGAAAAGGTGACAGCAAAGTGGACACAGGTGAAATTCATCCCACTCAGCAGAACGGTAGCCTAGTGATAAAACAGCGCGCACCCACAGCATACTCATCTGTCAGATGGAGTCCTTGCCCCAAAACACTCAGCTTCTACCCATCTCAGTCCAGAACAAATGTAATGCATTCAATGACCCGAAAGGACTTATGGCACTGATAATCCTCACTCCTTGTTGGATTTAAGATGAGGCCTTTGGAAAGGAGAATCTGCCGTCGCATGGCAAAAGATGTTTCCAACCAAATCATCTGATAATTGCTGTTAACAGGAAGCCTGCAGTTTGTAGTCCTTCACAGAGCAGCAGTGCTTGCATCCCTCCGCTCAGCTTCCCAGGCCATGCAAGGCTTTCTCCCACAGGCACAGGGCCCTCTATTTAACTTGAAGCCAGAGGCTGGCCTTCCTAATGCATCGAGGTTTCGGATCCCCTTATTACCCAAACATATCCTAGACTTCAAGGGAAATGAGCACACTGTGGGAAGTGTGTCCCTGCCCTCATGCAAGCAGGCAGCCTTTAACTTTGATCAGCTCTCACACAGGGGAGAAACACCTTTGGCTATTACAAAAAAGTTGGAGGCAGAGGGATCAGTGTGCGCTTTTAAATGGAATCCAGAACCCACCAACTTTGCGTGGAGTTACTGCAACGGTTCTTTTCCAAAGCAAACTGATTTCTCAGCTTCTTCAGCAAGGGCTGCGCTTCCAGTTCGCATCCCAGCTGCTCTAAACAGTGAATGAAACGAGCAGCTCTCCACCTCGAGGGGGCACCACGAGACAGCTGAAAAAAGGAACGGAGGCAAACAGGCTTTACCTCAGGCCCCAAATATTCCTGTCATGAGGATGTTCAATTACAGTAATTAGCAATAATCACATAAGCAACAGGAGCTCCCCTTACCTCCCTTCACCCCACCAAAGAATGGAGTCTGCTTCATTAAAACCTCCGCTTCCTCCTTAATCCTGCAGCCTCGTTCCTGCAGCTTCCTTCAGCAACGGGAGGACCTGGATCCCACTTGTGCTGCCTGACTGGGTCAGCATGTCAGCCTGGGAGGGAAAAAAGTGTCCCTTGTGAGTCACCTGCCTTCAAAATTGAAAATTAGGAGGGGATGGATGTCTTAAATGTGAACGGAAGCTGAATCCTATCACAAGTGTGACTGCTGCTGTGTTTTTGTAACAACCCTGACCTACTTAAAATAAATGAGCTGTCTATGAAGCAGGATTTGTTGGGGTTTTTTTTCTCTCAATAATTATGTTTTCCTCCCACCCACCCTATAGCCAATAAATTTACCCTGGCAGTACCTAATTTGCAGGAGGAAAAATGAAGTCAGAAGATTTACTGAAGGTCGGATGAAAACACATTTGTTCAAACACCTTTTTTCATTCTTGGAAGCACCTCAGCTTAGTAACTTCAACACGACACGTTCTCCATCCCTCTGCATTGATGCTTCCCAGCAGCGAGTCACTGGCAGCAAGGCAATACCAGGGGCACGATGAAATTATAGACTAAACAAACATGTTTCAGAAGTAAATACACCTGCTAAAACATACTGGTTGAGTTTGAGCAAAGCAAGGAGAGCAGAGAGTTTTGAATGAGCTTAAGTTCTCAGTACAGATGAAATAAGGGGCCTGGATGTTCCTGACCTCCAAATGCAGGCTGCCTCCAGCACAAAGGCATTTTCAGTGCTGAGTCCCCAGAAACCAGGATTATGTCCCAAAGTCCGTGCACTGTCTGAGCCTTGGTACAGACCGGAAAGTGCAGATCCAAGGAACAGCCTCAAGTAAGAAATCTTCACAGACAGAAATCAATCCATGCTGGGCATCTGGATGCCTCCCTGTGAGAGCTACTGTGGGGAGCCTGCTTTAGCAGGGGGGTGGGACTTGATGATCTCGAGGTCCCTTCCAACCCCTGCAATTCTGTGAACCAATGCAACGTGGATGGCAAACGTAAAGGAAGGGACCAGCAGCCCCATCCACCAGTCTGCTCCGTGAGGCTCTAAGTCTCATTTACCCCCAGATACCAGGTAAAATGAGAAAGGCAAAGACAGAATTCTGGATATTCAGGACATCTGGCAATCTGATGGAGATTCCAGTCTGCGGCAGCATTTCCCAGTATTTTGTACAATCAGGAAACAGCACAGATGCTCTGCTTTCTCATCGTAGGTGAGCTGAGGACAGAATTGGTGAGGCCTGGTTGGAAAGAACCCTGAGGAAAAAGCACAGTACACAGAGGAAACTATGAACTTCAGCTGGATAAATATAAAGAAAATAAGTGATTCATTCATAACCAAGAGGCTTTAATTTATACACATTTATTTATGGGCATGATTCCTGTTGTTAAAACAGAAATGCCATAAATAAAAAATTTGTATGACTCAGGTAATAACATGGAGAATTAAATACCTTTCCTTCCTTTTTCTGCATAAACTTACAAAGCAAATAACTTCATGGACTGCTTTTCTTTTCATTTTAGATTCAGTGAGAGATCAGGGTGATGACATGGTGTTATAGAGGGTCACGAGACCAAAAAAGTTAAGGAATGATGTGTGGATTTTGTGGGAACATGAGGTAATTAAATCTCCATCCCTCCAACTCTGTCCTGAGAGGTTCTTTATAAAGACAGCAGGCAAACAGCAACTTCATAAAGTCCAACAAAGAGAATTGCAAAGCCCTGCCCCTGGGCAAGAATGACCACAAGTCCCAGAACAGGGTGGAACAGCTGGAAAGCAGCTGTGCAGGAGCTCCCATGGGAGACCTGGAGGGCAACAATTTGAGCACAAGCCAGCAATGTGCCCTTGCAGCAAAAGCTACATTAGGAAGAGCATCTCCAGCAAGCCAAAGGAGATAATCCTTCTCTCCTCTGCAATAGAGAGGTCACATCTGCACTTCTTGGTTCAGTCTTTGGCTCCTCAGTACAGTGGAAGCATAGACATTCTAGGATGAGTCCAGTGAAGGGCCATGATGGTGGTTAAGGGGTTGGAGCGTCTGTCGTAAGGGGACAGGATGACAGAGCTGAGCCTGTGAGCCTGGGCTTCAGGAGTATCTCGCCAATGGGAACCAACACCTGATGGGAAGGGGTAGGAAATTGAGCCCGACTTCTAAATGGCGCTCAGTGAGCACACAGTGGACACTGGAAACTATTTAAACATAAGAAAAAAAAACAGACACCAAAAAAGTAAACCAAACCCTGACAACCCACACTGGAACAGGTTATGCACTCTCAATCCTTGGGAACACCAAAAGCCCAGCCAGACACAGCCCTGAGTAGCCTGCTCCGCTGACCCTGCTTTGAGCAGCACTTGGTCACCTCCAAAGGTCCCTTCCAACCTGAACACTCCTGTGGTTCTGACTGTGCAGGTTGTTGATCTGCTCTGTGACAGGAAGAGCAACAAGCTGTATCAACAAACTTTGCTACTGAAAGAGCTAGGTTAGTTGCTAGAATCACACTCACCAGCTGGAGTGAAAGTGAGTTTCTGTTGAAAGCCCTGCCAATGTAAACACTATTGTTCCTGAATGTGAGCTGTATCTGTGGGATTTCTTAATGTGCCTCAAGAACATGGACCTCATTAGGCACCTGATTAGCACCCTGATGAGAGCTGATGGCTAGCAAGGAGAGGGGCTGGCTGCCCAGCCTGAATGCAGTGCTTAGCTGAGCTTCTCCTTGCAAACATTCAAACCTTGTGGATGGAATGCAAAAATGGGAGAGAAATAAGGAAGGGCTGATCCTTCCCTTTCATCTCCTGGTTAAATGATGAGCTGCTTGGTAAAGAGATACAGGACATTTCACTGCAAACCTTCCCTACTTGGCACACAGCATTTTTAATTTGCAGTTCATGGAATGCATTTAAGCTTTCATTTTATTCAGGGTTAATGATTCCTGAAATAAAAAAAAAGTAATGTAAATATAACTCCTGAAGATGGAACATTCAGAAGCAATACTCCTTCCATCTCAAAATTGCTCAGCTCACTTTTAAAATCATTCTCAGAAGTAGGGCAAGAGGTCTGCCTAATTATTTACCGAGCATTTGCACTTGAAAACACCATTCTAAATTACAGATTGTATCCCAGAGCCCAACTTCAGGCCTAACAGTATGGTCTGTTACACCAGAGGAAGCTGTTTTAGCAGTATTCCAGCAGGAATATTGTTTAGGTTTTAGAGCCCTCTTCTATCTAGGTGCCATGAAACGTAAGAAAATGAAATCAGCTAGAGTTAGATAATCAGGAGTGATTTATTTTGTAAAACTGTCCATTTTTAATCAAGGCAGACTTAATTATTTAGATAGACCTGTTTGGGAACAAAATTAACTTCTGTGCTGGCTTCATTTTTCATCTGGGAATACATTATGACTGTGAATGCTGAGCTATAGTTTATTTCTAATCCTGCTGGTGTTCTTGCTGTACACACAATAAATTAACCCAGGATGTCCTCTGCATCTTGCTACCGCTTCAGCACTTTCCACTTCATTCCACACTGCTCTTTTCTCTTTGCGTCCTTGCACGGTTCTGCACATCAGCTATCTATAATTACCATCATCCAAACTGCAAATACAGCCTGTTTATTTCTCATATCCAAAACAGGAGCACGAGAAGAAAGGCTGGGTAAGCTGAGCATAGCTGCGGTTCAACAGAACAATGTCACTGGGTCCAAATCTAGCAAAGTTTGTAGGCACAAACTTAATTTAAAACATGTTAGTATTGTTTTTGCAAGAACACTTCTAATGTTAAGGCTTCAGTAGCAATTTTCATACTTGAATTATGCAGAAGGCAAAGAACTTCACTAGACAGAGGCCTGACCTCCAACACTACATGCAACCCTCTTTGTCTTTCAGAACCAAATTAATTCTCTTATTATCCTCACACTGCAGTGCACTCCTTAGACTCAGATTTTGATTGAAGATTTAAAGTGGATAATATAAATGTGACATATACATTAAGTGAAATTTCAGATAGATGGCTTTTTAACGTTCAAAAGCAGCTTCCCTGGAAGCGGCTCACTCTTAGCAAATTACCTCTGACAAGTCCGAATCTCCCCGATAAGCCTCTCAAACACTACAGCTTCTGCTCAGAGGAATATCTAAAAACTCATCACGCCCAGTCCTTGACAAAAAACAAGAATTAGATTCAAACTGAAAAGAAGCGATGCTGGGAGAGGCTGACATTCAAAAAGGGTAGGAGGATAAAAGAGAGCGAAAAATGACAGACCCAGTCTGCACCATTACTAAAATTAGATCATTTCTTTTGTTCTCCTGAACCTTCTGCTCTATTTGCCAGGAATCATATTAGCAACAGAAACTGTGAGAATCTGTCCAACCTTATTAGAGAAGCTGGGCACAAAGAAATGATGAAAATCCTTCTTAAATGTACTTGCACATACAAAGGAAAAAAGCGGAGTTTCAGAATTTTGAAAGATTGGATCAAAACCCACGTCGGAAAAACTGGACATCAAACTAACAAAGCTTAATTAGCAGTACTGCAGTGCGGGGAGAACAAGCAAAGAACAGAACTTCACCACTTGCATCAGTATAGATATAGGCTTAATGCTCCACAACAGGGGAAAACAAAGGCATGCTCTCAAGCTCTTCTCCAAAACATTCATCTACTGTCCAAGCACTGCCACCTGTAAGAGCTCCGAGGGGTCAGCTCTGCTATTGGGAAGCCTTCCGGCAGCTGACTTATGCTGCAGGACAGTGCATTTCTTCCCCATCCTCCTCCCCTAGCTCCAGCACCCCAGCTGGGTGGGGTGGATATTGTCAGCCTCTATCCATTAGGCTAAATGGTGTTAGGCCTAATGGTCTGCACTCCATAGGAGCAGCTGATGGTGTGTACAGATCACGCACCCCTCAGCGTTGTTGGAATGTCACGAGGATCTTCACAGTCAGATCCTGATGGAGGCCATCAGAACCCACACCCTGATAACTATGGGGTGTGAAGGCGACCATTCTTGACTGGGTGAAGTGCACCCACTGGCTTGCATGCAGATGACACAAATTCAGTACTCATACAAGAGCTACAACTTGTCCTGAAGCTCCAGCAGTGAGAGGCTGCTGGAATGGCATCTCTTGCACAGTCTGCCTCCATTCATAAGCACATCTACATGGCCACGGAGCGTGGGACAAATGACAACTGTGACGTCTGCATGGCCACAGGACTCTTACGCCCTGTCAAACCAAAGATGCAGAATATCCCATAGTCAATCCTGGGTTGTCACTTACAATTCAAGCAGTACACAAATTTGCAATTTGTAGTTCTTTTTCTGTCCCCTTCTCCTCAGATCAGTGACAGATTCTCAAAGCACAGCAATCGAAAGAGACTTTCAAGACAAGTGAGCAGCTGAATGAAAGTTAATACTTGATAAAATTCACCACATGAATGACTGTTACACTGGCACAATCAATAGTAGTTCAGAAATACCACCGAAAGCCCTTGGCCCTGGGGAAATGCAGGCATCTTTCACACAGAGGAACTTTTTAAAACTTTTTTAATGAAGTAGATGGTTTATTTTAAAGGGATAAAGTCATCCAGAAAGAAGCAAATTCCCAAGTATTCCATGGCTTTCTGCCAGCCTAAGGTCATACTGTCTAAAGGAATTACTTCTAAGGGAGCCATGAAAAAGTAGTTGTGGATAATACACATCCAGCATACACAGCTTCATCAATCTTAAGAAAGTAACCATAAAAAGTATGAAAATATGCAAGATGATTACTTGGGGGATCAGAATTAAGAGCCCTTTCACCAACTAAAAGGAAGCAACCCAAAAAACAAGTCTTAAGCCGGCAAACAGTTTATGTATATCTCAATTCAGGCAGATGAGAACTATTAATTTCAGAAGAATTGTTCACATGCTTGCAGTTACACACTACAGCAATCTGGAAAGGACAGCTGGAGGCTGGCAAAATTGACCTGTAACACTTTGCAAGTTTTATTTTATATGACCAAGAAAGCTCTTCTAACTTTTGGAGAAATAAATCAGTGTGCTCTCTTTTCCAGTACTTGAGAGTTTGCATTGACTCAATTTCTGATTTATTCTTGAGTAAGGACAGGCAAGAATCTTTTCTCTAAGTTCTGAAACACAAGCTGCAGAGACTGTCTTTAAATAAAGCTTATGTCTGCTTACCCCCGAAATTGTCAGATTTACACATTTCAGTACAGTGTTTTAATAGGATTGCAAGAGACACATTTCAAGGACAAGGTGTGAATAAACCTGGAATGCTGGAGAAACCGAGCAGCCTGAGATGCGCATTGTCCTGCCCACTGGGCTCGGAGTCACTTGTACTGTTCACCTCCATGGGAAAGAAACCCCATAAATGTAAATCTGTCTTTTTTGGTAGCGTTTCCGAGTTCTACACTGGATACCCCCCACTTTGTCGCTTTGTTATCTTTGAAGAATACAGACTAACAAGCCTCTAAAAAAAGTTACTACGCTTCTGACTCAAACCGCTCAGAAGAATTCCTTTGCTGTATTTAGAATTTCAAGTACAAAGAAATGCATTAGACGTTATTAGGGATTCAGATTCCAACGGATGCGATTGTTTCCAAGAACTCTCAACATGACTATTAAGGCAGACAGATGCATGCCCTGCTACCCTGCAGTACACAGTTACACACCGTAATGCTGTTAGATGTAAATCCTGTTAAGGACGCTCCGGCTGTTAAACACTGTGCAATGGGCCTGATGTGGTCCGCAGGGTCCAGGCTGGTGAGGGACCCAGGGACAGCAACCTGCTGCAGCTGTTGGATGGGCCGGGGGCTTTTCTTCACTTTTTTCTTCACTTTGGGAGCCTGCCAGCAAGCCACGGCTAGACAGGGCCCTCACGTCTCGTTTTACAGCGGGACGACGGCAGTTCGGGGCGGCGGACGCACACGGTGCTGCCGACGGAGCTTCGCCCTCAGCGCCGCTCGGCCGTTTCCCTCAGGCGGCAAAATGGCGGCGGCGGTTGCGAGGGGAGGGGGCGCCGCCGCGAGGCCGGAATCCGTTATCCAACGCCTCCTCCTGCTGCTCTTCCCGCCCTGCCGGCGGGGAGGAGCGCCGGGCCGCGGCCTGCACCGTTCACGCCCCCTGAGGGAACCGGTGGGGCCGGGGTGCGGGGCAGCGCTCCGCCGTCCTCCTCCGCCTGCCGCAGGCTCGGCCCCGTTCCCCTTCTCCCCGAGCTGCTCGGAGCCCAGGCCCGAGGTAGGTGTCGCCGCGGTGCTCGGAGGAGCCGATCTGATCTGCGGGCTCCGTGGCTCAGCGAGGCCTGATGGCAACGGGGAGAAACCTCCCCACCGCCGGCACGGGGCCAGAGCCGTCCGCCACAGTGCCGCGGCTTTCCCCGCGGGAATACGGGGACTTCAGCACGTGGGAGGGGGCATCCCGTGCGCGGTGCCTTGAGCGCTCCGTGCGGACGCGGATGGCGGAGTGGAACGCGTGGAGCGGTCTGATGGCGCTGCAGCCCTGTAGCGCCGTTACGACGCTTCGGTCCCTGCCGGGGATGAGCAGCTGTTGTCCCGCGGACTGTTTGGGTAACCAGGAGGGTTGTCAGCGCTGGGCCAGGCCCCTATGATAGGAATGCGTGCTGGAGCCAGGTCCTGTAAACACTCGGTGCCTCGTGGAGCCCCGTTGCTAAGGGCTCAGCAATAACGAGACGCGTGAGCGCCTCGTGGGAGCCGGGAGGTGTTACTTGACTGCTGGCAGCCGGCAGGACTGCTGATGGGGGCATTTCCACGTTTCTTCAGCATAAGTCTTGGGCTTTATAAATAAACTCTCTTCGTTTTCTGGCTCCTGGTAGGTTTTTGGAGGGTGGCCAAGTGGAGCTGTATTGTTTGTGTGTGTAGATTCTGCGTCTCGCACGAAGATGTCTGTTGTTTACACAGAAGCTGTAAGAGGGATGTTTTGTTAGCGTTTGGTTGGCAATACAAATCGACACAACCCAAACGAAGCCTTGAAGCAGAAATAGCCCTTTTTACAGAGAGCTGAACGTCACGGCTGCCAAAGATCTGCTTTTAAAGGAGGACGGTGCACCTTTTGGTTCTACTTTCTTCTTTGGTTTTGTTTGAAAGCTCGTCTTCTGTCCTTTACGTACATATGAATCTGCTGCTCCTAACTGTGGGAGCAACTTACTTTTGTGTATGCAGGTCATTTAAGCAGTATTCTTATAAAAGAGGTTGGCCGAACTGTAAACTTTTAAAATGACATTTGAAAATTGTTTTTAATTGGGTGCGTCACTGTTAGGTTTTCACATCCTTGAGCTGACTGCAGTGAATTCCTCTCCCCATTGTCAACATGTGTCTTTTCCATTATGACTGACTTCTGCCTTCTCCTTTCCTCTAGCTTGGAATTTTTACAGTTTGGAAGAAAAAATAATCCAGCGTTGGTGGAGAGTGGTTGAAGAAAGCCTGCAGGGCCCCACGTTTCACTGGGGTGTGTGTTGGGGTAGTGTTCCCTGAAGGCAAGCTTCTGGTTGAGCTAATGCATAGAAATGGCCTTTAGAATCTCTCATTTGCACTGCTTCTTAGTCTGAGAATGATGAGCAGCTACCTCTGCCACTAGTATGTGATTAAATGTCAGGAGTGAAGTGGCTCGGATGCACCTAAAAGGATTTGGTATGTAGAAGGAAGGGATCACAGTAGGTGGGAACTCCATGATGGTCAATGTATTTCACTGTATCAACAATGATGTCTAGTAGGCTTTCATCGGGTTGTGCACATCCAGTGGAAGGAAGGCAGAATTGCATCTTCCAAGGCAATCCAGCATCTCTTTTTAAGAAGCATTCTTATCAATGAATTAGTTCTGCACTGCATGCTTTGTGCTGCTCTTGGGAGGAGTAGAAGTGCCATTGTACCCCGTGTCTTACCTCAAGTATTTGTACATGTTAGCATCTCCCAAGAACTTCTGTGGGTTTTTGCTTTTGTGACCAGTCTTGTAAGATTATATTTGAGTATTGGAGTTACCATCATTATTTCTCAGTGTTTGTGACTGGCTCTTACATGGTGATCCACTGTAAAGGTTTAGAGGCATTTTAAGTTCTTACTCTGAGAGTGGTGAGGTGCTGGAACAGCTGCCCAGAGAGGCTGTGATGCCCTATCCATCCCTGGAGGTGTTCAAGGCCAGGTTGGATGGGGCCCTGGGCAGCCTGGGCTGCTATGAAATGTGGAGGTTGGTGGCCCTGCGTGTGGCAGGGGGTTGGAGCTTCATGATCCTTGAGGTCCCTTCCAACCTGGCCATTCTGTGATTCTGTTTTCTCTTTCAGCTTTCCTCACTGCCATGAGGAAGATGTGAGTTGCGCAGGATCAGCGCATGGAAAACTATCAGTGTTTATTTCCTTTATATGTTTTAGGAGGCAGAAAGCTATGTTGGAAAGACACTGAAGATGCTGGTGTTATGGGAATAATAGGCTTTACTAATTTTTTACAGTTTATTTCATAGTGCTTTGATTTTTGTTGGGACTTCAGGTGTGACTGTATGCCTGATTATGCACCCAAATCAGTGACTCTTCAGATTGTCCATGGAGATCTGTAACGGGATTAATTGAAGTTGGAGTTCCATAGCAAGACGTGTTTGGAATTAGCCCAGGTGAAAAAGAAATCCTTTTTAGGCAGACACTGTGGTGTGGAGATGAGTGGTTTTCTCATTTCCCAGTAACAGGTTAGATCATCTGCTGCCTAAAGCTTCGGATCGTTAGCGTATTCTTTAATTTAAAAAATGGTCTTATTGACATTCTTGGCGTTTGCTTACTAGTTGTATTCTAGTAGCAAAATCTCTGGATGTGTTAGGGCAGTTTCTGGTACTAACGTTAAAATTCCGCTAGAATTAGCTACATGAAAATAGGAGAAGAGAGCTCTCGGTCTCGGTTTTGAGTAAGATTCAGTAATGTTTGCTCCTTCTTCTTTCTGCTCTCTTACAGGAACAATGATACTCATCCAGCATTCCTGAGTAATAAGAATGGGTCCAGACGTACCGCTGCTCAATGATTACAAGCAGGAGTTCTTCTTGAAGCGCTTTCCGCAGACTGTGCTGGGAGGTCCCCGGTTTAAGCTGGGCTATTGTGCCCCTCCTTACGTATATGTGAATCAGATCATTCTTTTCTTGATGCCATGGGTTTTGGGAGGAGTAGGAACGCTTCTGTACCAATTAGACATTATGAAAGACTATTATACTGCAGCACTTTCAGGAGGACTGATGTTTGTCACTGCGCTTATTCTTCAGATGGCAAATCTATATGCAAAACAGAAAACAGTGACAGTAGAAAGAATGCAAATCCAGAATGCTCTAACAGATGAAGATGAGTTTGAATTTTCCAGCTGCGTAGGTTCAGAGACAATAAAATTTATTATTCCTGGCAAGAAGTACATAATCAACACTGTATTCCATTCGCTTCTGGCAGGGGTATTGTGCGGGCTGGGAACTTGGTACTTGCTGCCAAACAGAATAACCTTGCTGTATAACAACATTGGAGGAACTGTTATGATCTTTGTGTTTGGATGGGTGACTGTATGTATAGCAGAGTATTCGTTAATCGTAAATACAGCTACTGAGACTGCTACTTTCCAAGCGCTGGATACTTACGAAATCACCGCTCTGATGAGGCCTTTCTATATTTTTGTCTTTATTGCAGTGGATCTTGCACACAGGTAAACCTAATGCAGCATTTTCCTAATTAAAGCTCTAGTTATTTTGTGTGTATTTTTATGAGAAAGGTGCAATTATTCTTCTGAGGGAAATTAATCAACTGTAGGTTGTCCAAAAGAAGGCAGAGAAGTGTTATGTCAAATACTGATGCTCTACATTGTGTATAAAAGGTTGTTCTTAAATTGCTGTATTTTGTCACGTAAATTGGGAAGACCCTGAGCAGCTTGTAAGTTAGAAACAGTTAAAACTGTCTTTTGCAGTGTTAATTTGCTTTTAGATGTACTTTACACAGGCTTTCTCCTTGTCAAGCAGTAGTGATATCCCTTAGACAGAAAATGTGTTCATGTGACAGAGGTACTTCAAATGCATTATTAAAAAAAGCGTGTTTGCTTTTGATTGGATTAGTTTTGCACTTGAAGATGTAATTTACCCTAGTTGCTTTTTCAGTTACAATGTGATAATTACACAAACACTCTTGGAGCCCAAATAGTTCCCTATAAACTCATGAACAGAAAATTCAGACGTTCTGTAAATTCCTGAAAACATTCCTTTGAGGCAGGCGTATTTGTTTACTAGGAAGCAGAGGGAAATCCAGTACCTTAGCAGTCCACCTGTGAGTCAGTGTGCTTGCTGATGAACTTGCTGATGGCTTAGAATTTATGCCGACTTCTAATACTGATCTTTGTGTTTTTACGGAAAGGTTTAAATGCTTTTATGTACAAAATTACTACAATTTTGAAAGATAGAAGCTGAGGTCTTGTAGATTGAATAGGTCGTGTTTATGCTTCTGGATGGAGTGCACTAGTTGAGCAAAAAGCCTTCCCACACATCAGCTGTATTTTCCTTCACGAAAGTCAAATGCATTTCTTCTTTCCAGGTTTGCTGTCAACGCACCCATTCTAGAGCAGGCAAACCAGATTTTGCACGTCGTATTTCTTTGTCTGCCGTTCTTGTGGGCAATGGGAATTCTGCCCCCGCTTGACGCACTTTTTCTGTGGGGAATGGAACAACTGTTGGAGTTTGGACTAGGAGGTTCACCTATGTCAAGTAACACAAAGTAAATTTTGTTTATATAATGATAAAATACAGCAATATTGTTTATAACCTTTTTCTTTTCAAGCAAATCTTTTTTATTTTCTCCTTCACAGGTTGTTAGTAATGTTTCTCATTTCTGCTGGAACAGCAATAGCATCGTATTTCATTCCCAGCACTCTCGGTGCGATCCTCTTCATGACTGGATTTGGGTTCATACT